TCATTGAAGACATTTGACAGCTACGCAGGGGACCCATTTCCCCAGAGACCTTCCCCATCAACAAGCGACATCTCCCCAACCATTTCCTCTCATGTGTTTGGACAAGAACCAGCAGTGGATCTGCATCAGAAGGATACTAAAGAACTGATAGGCGCCCTGCATCATATGAACAGTAATTCCCTTATAGGTGAACAAAGCTCTGGAACTGCAAAACTTCAGCAGATGGTGGATGGCCTGGAGAAGAGGACCAACGACCCCAATGAGTGTGTCATCTGCCATAGAGTCCTCAGTTGCCAGAGCTCGCTCAAAATGCATTACCGCACACACACCGGCGAGAGACCCTACAAGTGCAAAATTTGTGGACGCGCATTCTCCACCAAGGGTAACCTTAAAGCCCATTACGGAGTGCACAGGGCTAACTCCCCTCTTAAAATGCAGCACTCGTGTCCCATCTGCCAGAAGAAGTTCACCAACGCTGTGGTTCTGCAGCAGCACATCCGCATGCACATGGGTGGCCAGATCCCTAACACCCCTATGCCAGAAACCCCGGTCGAAGCAGCAGAAGCCATGGAATTATCTCTGTCGGAGGAGAACTCTACAGATATCCTTGGTTTTGAAGCAAGCTTGGAAGATCCTGAGCCAGAGCCGAACTCCCAGAAACCAGACGATACCTCAGATTCCCTCCCGCCCGCCTCTGAGGAACCACCACAGAATCAGACTCCCCCCATCCTGTTTTCGAGCCTTGAAGTTTTAAAGAGTCTGACGTCGGCTCTTGAATTGAAACGACAGAGCAGCACCGCTTCGGAGAGCGAGGGACCATCCCTACCTCCTCCCAGAGAGCAGGAGTATCAGAACGGCCGCAGCCCTGCCATTTCTGACCATTCGGCCATGTCCTATCACTCATCTTCCCCACTAAACAACAACCCAAATTGTAGCAAATCTCCTGAGGCTCCCAGTAATGAATTTGCCCACAGTTTTTCTAGACCAGGGGGTGATGGCGGTGCTCAAGGTGGCACTGAGTCAAGTGGAGCTCTTGACCTCACATCTTCCAGCAGCTTCGCCCCCAAAGCAATCAAAGAGGAACCTGGCATGCCATGCACAAATGGAGACCCTGGTGAGTTTATTAGAAAACAATTTAATCAAAGTATTTTAGAGGTTGTCATGTTGGATGCTTAGATCTAATATTTCACCCTTTTTATTTTTTGTAAGTATCTGGCAACATGTTTATGAGGATTCCATCAAGTCTGGATAGTCTGGAGATGAAGCTTTCTTCAGAGAATCCGTTGGGCCCTCACGGTTTGTTCAGCTCCCATATGCCTCAGGGAACCGCCATGCCCTCGTCCATCTCCAGCGCACCTCGACGATCATCCAAACAACACATTTGTCATGTCTGCTGCAAGAACTTCTCATCTGCCAGCGCCTTGCAGATCCACGAGCGCACTCATACAGGGGAGAAGCCATTTGCCTGCAATATCTGTGGCAGGGCTTTCACCACCAAGGGAAACTTAAAGGTAAGTCATAATGGTCTGACAAAGGGCTGAGTATTTTGAAGTTCTCAAATATCGAGCATTGTGATGGGATTAATATGAACTTTGTCTCGTCTCTAGGTACACATCGGCACTCACATGTGGAACAACACGTCGCGGCGTGGCCAGCGCCTGTCTCTGGATAATCCCATGGCGCTGATGGCAATGAGCTCCGAGGCAAAGATGATGCCAGAAATGATGCAGGCCCCCAAAGACCTGGGTCCTCCACCAATGAACTTTGAACAGTCTCTCTGGAACCAGTATGCTGCTGCCTTCAGTGGAGGCCTGGCCATGAAGACCAATGAGATCTCAGTCATCCAAGGGGGTGGCATCCCCCTTCCAGGGAGCCCTGCTGGTGGGCCTCTGATTGGCTCCACTGGGGGCCTCATGAAGATGGATGGATCCCAGTCGGGCTTGTCTGGCTCAATGGCCGAAATGGAGAAGAACAGCTCAAGCAGCGTGCCAAAATTGCAGTTCCAACATTTCATGGAGGAGGGTAAAATTGCAGTGAACTAGGCTTTTTTCTTAGCCTTTACTCAATTTACCAAATGAACTCAGTTTTTGAATGTCTCCCTTTTTGAATGAGGTACAATCAATATTCAGTGAGAACCTTTGAGAATCTGCTCGCTAGGTTGAATTGTTCCAGTAATTTCATTGCAGCGGTCTCGCTCCTCATCTGAATGATTCTCAAGTGTTTTTTTTGTTGGAATTTATATAACTACTGTAGTTGTATTTTATTTGATATAAATATATATACGGGTATTTTTCCTGTGACTTTTGTTTTGCTGTCTATCCAGAAGTTTGAATGTACAACTTACTTGAAACTGCTTTAATTCAGACTGTCTCCTTGATACTTTGTGAAGGATTTTGACTTTAATAGGAAGTTTCAGGGCATGAATTTTTAAAGGAAACCGTGTCTCACTGTTCAGAAATATTGGTGTAGTTAACCGTATATATCTAGAATGACTACTCATTGTGTGCCAAAGGTTTTATGACATTGTTCATTTTTGTAGTGGTAAATGTCATTAGCTTGTCTCATTTTGAAAGGGCTTTTGATCAGACTGACTTATTCCAGTGTCTTGTCCATTAAATCAAGGTGCAACAGTTCACTCATCTATTTTGGATCTCATTTAATACAAAATAGGCTTTCATTATTGTCAGTGCTAAGAAAGGTAATGATTTCAAGCTTTTGTCAAGTGCCTAACTAGAATTGTTTATTGTTGCCGTGTCATTGACTGAACGATAAGGTTGTAATTGAGGCTCTCTCATACTGATACATTTGTGTTGCACCGTTTAATAATATAGCATTGTATTTCATATTTTCATCAACAAAAGTAACATATTCCACTTGTAAATCTGAAGATTCAAATTTAGTTGGCTGAGTTCTGAAGGCTTCTATATGGTCGATGTTCTCATGCCTGCACTTTATATCAGGTTTTAGTTACATTTACATTTTTATAGTTAAATTTCACTGCTTTTTATTGTGATGGCTAAGAGGGGAAAAGGCAAATCCACCATTTTGTTAACTTTTCCTTCCTGTCAATTTTGTGTGTTACAACCATTTAGTGTAATTGTCAGACTCATTTTTTTCGTATCAACTTGTAGCATCATTAATTTATTTATAATTCACAAAATGCTTGAGGTTAGGGGGTAAGTTCTACCTCGTTTAGATTTTAGTTGTTCTCCGTGCCCCCTTCTCTCAACGCAATGCGCTGTATGTTTTCTGATACATTCTCGAGTACATGATGAGATTTTCATTCTCAACCTGCTGAGTTGAACTAATGAATGTATCACTGGACACTTTACACAACTCAGAATGGTCAGAGTACTTTGTAGGCCCCTGCTGTACATTCCTTATCGATATGCATTTGCCAAGTTGTGCCTTTCTTTAGCAAACCATGTCAAAACTGCTTTCAGGTTGGTCTCTACAATTAAAGTGATGTTGAGCCAATTTGGCCCGTTTACAATGTAAATGTTTTTTGTTTTTCAAATGTTTCCTACACCTTAATATTTTCTGATTTTGAAAAATAAAATCAGGTTGACTTTTTCAATACGTATGCTGTCTTCACTTCACCACTGGCGCTGTACCCAAACTTATTGAAGGACAAAATCTCTGACTGAACACAGCTGGCACGGAGCCAATTTGATAGTGTAATTTTGTATTATATCCCCCTTTGCCAACTGAAATGCCTGCAGTATAAGTGTACATATAAAATCCCTTATTTACATCAATTCACCTTCAGTTGACTCGGGTATTTCTTAGTATACTCATGTCATGACCCACCAGTAGCCATTAATCCCTTCTCATTTTGCATTCTCAACGAACAACTATTTGCATCTACAACTGAAGCATACTTGCCAATCATGTTCACAATTCATTGAGGTCAACTATACAGTGGCATATTTTACATGAAACAAATCTTTTGGTGCATTTAAACCAATTTACAGAGTAAGCAGCACTGCCTGCACTAGAAATGACAACTTTACAATAAGTCATGTTCAGTTTTTGTTGTGTATGAAACCATTTGGTTTAATTCTGTCAAAGACAAGAAAACACTTGCCCAAACATTCAAAGTAAAATAAGAACACACAATAACAATTTTAAGCATGAATTTGATGCATGGTGAGAGATAGAAACACTAAGAGATAGTAGGCTACTCAACAAAAATCAAAACAAGATGGCTCTTCCTCTTACTTGGCTGAATCTGAATTCAAAGCTGTATCACTACATTACTACATTTAGCTATATTGGCATAGCTCTTACACCTGTTTTAGAAGTATATGCTTGCTGCTAGTATTAGAAGGGGAATTCTGCATAACTAGTAGGCAACTAATACTTTAGGCACTTTATAAATATGTTTAATGCTAATACTGGCACTCAAACTGAAGTAACATTTTAAATGCATGACCTTTAGGCTACTTTGCTAGTTGACATTTCGGTATAAAAGAGTATCAGCTACTTCTACTAGGCAACTGGTAGAGGTTAGTCTAGAAAAATCAGAGTTACAAGTAACAAAAGCTGCTTAAATAAGGGTCCTGGACAAACAATATGAAAATGTATTGGAACATAAATATAGTAGCTCAAAAAATGGAACTTCAAAACTATCATTAGGTGCAGTGGGATTACTTTGGTAGTAATTATTATTATTTCCTAAAAATATGCCTTAGTCTATATGGAAGTATGATGACAGGTATTTTTATAAACACATTATCCCCTGTTGCTTCTGATTGTGCCTTTCCCTAGAAATTATCAACAGCTAAACTATGAAATGTATGTTTATAGTGACTCAAATGAAACAAATAAATAAGCTTTCAGCCCTTGAAACAAATATTAGAAACAAAAGTCAACTATATTTATAATCAAATAGATGTATCAGTGAATCATGATGAGATAAAGTGTATTTGGTGTATTGTAAGCTAACAGATCCAGCATCAGTGCTAACCTGCTCACTGTCTCCACCGTCCCGTGTGAGTGACAGCCGGGGAGCCTCCGCCCAGAAACCGCTCCTGCCAGGCGGACTGACAACAGCCTCCACCCGCTAACCGGGAGCTGCAGGAATGACCGACAATATCCCCCTACAACCCGTGAGGCGGCCGAAAAGAAACGACAGTAAAAACAGAAATGGGTAAGGGCGTTATACGGCATAGAATATTAATATGGATCCGTTTGTTGACGTATTTCTGGTCGGCTAACGTTAAATTGTTTACCGGAGCGAGAGACATTGTCTAAAACTAGCTTAGCAGTGGAGGTATTTGAAATATCAGTTAGGGGAAATCCAAAGGCTAATATACAAATTCACGTTTTGAACACGTTCTGGCCGTTTATAGTAGCTCAGAAACTGCTAGCTTTAGCTCCGAGAGACATCCTTGTTCCGGGGTAGCAAGTGCATTTGACGCCCATGTCAATATGTGCCCGGTAGACTGAAACTGTCCTAGAGCAGATACTACGCTGAAATGTAGGCCCTGATTTAAAACGATACCATGTTTTAAATTAACATGCTGGCTAAATGATGCCTTTTGTATGGTTATTTGTGATTTGCACATAAAGGGGCAGGCCTCTTGATGATGGAGAAAGCACGCACAGGGCAGACACAGTGCTGAAATGCAGCCAATAATCTGACCAGGCTGTCATGGTGATGTCACCTCCTCTAATAATCACATAATACAAAGACAAAATGTCTGGAAATAAGCTGTTTATTATGCAGAGATACTGGTCTGTAGCTAGCGGCTTTGTGTAAAGTATGTTCTTGAGTTTGCAGTATAACTAGTCAAGCATGATGGCTATCATTGTGTCCAATGCACCTGTCCAACCTGACATGGTGGTTAAACTCTCAGTTACCAGTTTATATGCAATAGTCCTCCAACAGACCTCACCTTCACAAAGGTTGTAATGTGTGGCTTTCAGTTATTTTTCTTATCAATGGGCTAAACTATAGAAACATATCTCTTTATAATGCTCCACAAACTACACCCTTAAATCATCGCAAAACCAGTTTTAACAAAAGCTGGGCATTATAATCTCCATGAAGGGAGCATTTATTCCAGGACCGTTGTATTAGACTGCATTTGCTGTAGCTAGATGTACCGAATAAAGCTGAAGTGTCCTATATATCAAGTAGAAGGGAGCTTTGAGAATGCAGACCTCAGCTGTTGCCAAATGACCTGTCTCGCAATGTTAATGAAAGGGAAAAATAATTTGTTTATCCGCAATGTGATTCGGATATTCCCCACTGTGTAATGAAGTGCTTCTTGGCCCTTGATACTCCCTTCCATCATGTTTCATGAACATTGAGCAGATAGTTGTTCCATAAATCTGCTGAAAACAACAAACCAAACATTAAAAACACAAGATCTGCACTAAAGCTTGATAAGTTGTTTGATTAATTAGTAGGTTGAAGAAAAATGTATTGGTTTTGACAATGAACAAATCGTACAGCAAATGTCAAACTTTATTCACTATTTGTAAAAAATATTTGATAGAAGTAAAACAAGGTGTAGCACTTTTTTCCCTCTCCATGTTGGGCTTAGTTTTATACCATGTAAACAATTGATCAAGAAACTATTGGCAGAATACCCACAACAAAAGTGCCTTTTTCACAACAGGAATGTTGACTGTCATGGTGGGGACAGCACAGGTGTTGTTTATATAATTAACGATGGCTCATTTTTATTCAGCTGTCACAGTAAACTGTCAACTCAGCCATCTTTGATTTTATTATTTACACCTGTGTCCTTGCCTTCAGTGACATGTCAACACATCTTCTGTGTAAAAGGCCTGTCATTAGTCGCAGCCTCAATCTATTTGGGGTCTAAAAACAGCAACAGCTTGATCTTTTACTCAAGATGACAGAAATCAGAAGTTGCTTTTACAATAATAAAATTGTACCACAAAGTAAATCATCCCTTGGACCTTATTGTATTTGATCCTATACCAAATACTACAAACGTGCATGCTGTGCATATATGCATCTTTAAATACAGTATCTATCATGACACTGAAATATCTCTTCATATGTGGACCTGATAAATGTGGTTTCTCACTTGATACAAGCCATACTGGAAATCCAGCAATTGCGTATTTAATTGGAGAGGGACTGGTTAGTGTCCACTGCGAGGTTATCACAACAATCTCTAAACAAATGATCTGTTTTGTGAGGCCTATTGTGTTTATAGGTGTGTATTATACTAAGAAAGTAGTTTGATTGTTAATCCCGAGGTCACTGGACTCTTAGTTTATTGATATGGAGTCTGTGTTTGTGTAGAGCGGAGGGAGTGGCCACCCTTATCTTGTAAAGCATAATCTCTTCCGACTTCATGATCATGGATCTTTAGCTAAGCCTGGTCTCTTCTTTGGTTTGAAGCTGAAATAAGCAACACATTAACTCAGAGATGTGAAATTCATTAAAAAAAAAGGACCCATTACATGACAGCTTCACACATAACAACCCAGGGAAATGAGTCACACTAAAGATGTTCTTTCTGAAGTTAAGAATATTTAATGATTGGATGTTTATCAGGAGATATTCCTTAATGTTTCTCCCACGCTTGCTCTCAGGTGCTGCCCGTGGTCGCGATGCTGTGGCATGGGCGACTTCCGTCCCCGCACCGTGTGGCTCGGCCACCCAGAAAAGAGGGAGCAGAGGTACCCGAGGAATGTCATTAACAACCAGAAGTACAACTTCTTCACCTTCCTGCCTGCGGTTAGTGTCAGTCAAAGGTCACCCCTCCACCCTCCCTCCTGTTCACCCCCAAAACCACCACCCACCTCTCCAGCGTGGCTCTTACTCATTTTCCCTTTTTGGTTACATTTCTCCAAAAACTACGTTAGGAGCCATCATCTCGGCTGACATCTTGTACCAAAAATATTAACCAGGGACAAAAAGTGGACATTGTATTCATGACTTATTTGGAATGAGCATCAGAGAGTCAGATTATGGTGGATCTGATAGTTATTTGACGGATATAGATTCATAATTTTAGTCTATAACTTAGTGAAAGATGACCATTATAACCCAAGGCTGTGTCTAGATATCAGAAATGGATTCCAACCATCAGATCAAAACCCAAATACATTCAGGTTACAATAATATAAAACACGAAAAAGCAGAAAAAGCTCACATTAAAGAGGCTGTAACTAGCAAATGAATCAATTGTTGTTATCAGTGAGTTTCTGTTAATTGACTAGTTGACACAGTGAATAATTGGCTTAGCTTAGATACATACCTCAAATTTTAAATATACATACATTTATATTCCTACTTGAGTTAAATACAAATGTAGTCTTGTTTGCTAATTGTTAGTCTAACCCAAAATGTCGACATATTAGCATTCGTCCTTATGCTAGCACACATTTCTTACCCATTTTATGTTATATCTTAATTGTATCACACAGTCTCATTGAGAACAAAACATATTAACAAGAACAGCAAAAGTAAAAAATATTAGACATGGTGGGATGTCCTGGGTTCAGATCTACATCTAGATCACATTTGGCAAAACAAAAACATTTCCCTTAGCAACAGATCACATCCTTAGAAGAATATGGAAGATGCATATGTTATTTGGTTGGAGGTTTTTCTTTCTAAGCGTTGTGATTTTGACCCTCGCATTTCCCCGGCTTGCTTTACATATGAATTTGTTTTTCAGACATTCAGTTGTCTTAAGACCTTATGACCTTTTTCGTGTTTATGAAGTCAGACATTGAAGGTAGCTCACATTTGTTTGGAAAGCCAAAGACAAGAGCAAAGCCTTTTTGCATTGCAAATTGTGATGCTTTTTATTTTCCTTGGTCATGCCAAGAACATCTTCTCACTGGAACATATTGAAGTCTTTATGTTTGTGGTTTTCTTTGTTTCTGCTCTCCACTTTCGTCGTTTCGGAAATGACGTACAGAAGTAATGTGAACGCGTACAGGTAGTAATCCTGGACGCAGGTGGTCATTCAATTGGGCAAAGGGTTAATTTTAAGAAGGACACTAATGCAAGTGTGTGTGCATATTGTCACATAGACATAGATTGTTCATAAGGACAAAGAGTAGGAACACACTGTAAACTATTTTGGATTCATTTTTTCATATCTTTGCATAAATTGATGGCTGTTATTTTCCAAAAAACCTTTCTTGATGAATTTATCAGGACTCATTGGATTCTCAAAAAAAAAAAAAAAAAGATTCACTGATCTAAAAACGAAACTGGTTTTAAATGTAATCCTGCGTTAATAAACTCAAAAATCTAAATTATAGGTTGTAGGAAACCTGTTTTTCCAGCAAATGTATGATTGAAGCGGATAAGGCTAAGGCTCTTCTTCAAAATTCAAACTAAATGCTGATTAGAATAAAAGCAAATATTCACATCAAAATCAGTCATGGTGGCCGAGCAGCAAATGTCAATACACTGTCATATACACAATAACTTACCACACTGCAAATATTGAACTCTCTGCTTCTCTGTTTCATTTCCACAGGTGCTGTTTAATCAGTTCAAGTACTTCTTCAACTTGTACTTTTTGCTCCTGGCCTGCTCTCAGTTTATCAACGAGCTACGACTAGGAGCGCTCTACACCTACTGGGTCCCTCTGGTGTGTGACATTTCACTGACTGATAATTATCACCCTCTATCAACTCATTTGACTTTATCAGTGTTCAGAAGTTATTCTGATAGTATTCAGTTGTGATGGAAATAATGTAACAGTAGCCACAGCACTAGCATGTATGAAGTTGATTTGTTGTTCTATATTTAGGAGAAATAACTATTTAATTTGGACGTTTTTAACTCTTCAGGGTCTGGTTTTGGCTATTACCATCATGAGGGAGGCAGTTGAAGAAATAAGATGCTACCTTCGAGACAAAGAAGTGAACTCTCAGATTTACAGCAAGCTTTCAACAAGAGGTACGGATTGAAACAACATCCATAATATTCATCTGGCTGCTACTTAAACATTATTTATCTATTTACCTAATATAACATATTTCAATGACTTGCATATACAGTAGACTCTTATTGCACTATTTACTATTGACTTTTTTCTGTTTATCAGTGTTTCGTGTTGCACTGTTGGAGAAGCCCGTGACACAAGATTTTCCTCGACATAACTGCACTGTAGCTATGTTCGTTTGACAAATAAAGAACCTTGAACCTTGGATCAGGAACTCAAAGGAAAACATTGAATATGTTTTGGTTGTGTTGATGAACCTTGTTGCTTATTCCTCAGCATCAGCGTCTAGTAACTGTACGAGGTTGGTCCTGTTCAAACTTATTGGGGCTAGGGGAAATGGTGGGCTAATTCAAAGCAGAGATGTAAAAGTGTACATAAGAGGCCTCGGTATAAAGTGCTACCAGCAATAAAAAGCAGGGGACCTCTTGTGGTTTCCATCACTTTGTCCCTTTGATGTGGCAGCTCGTTTTACCCATAAACACGACGACTGCTTGCCTCCATGATAGCGGCCCCCGAGAATATCTCGCGGTTTATAGAAGGTTTATGGTTTCAGGACTTGGTGTGTTGTTTTCTAGCATAGGAAGAATGTGCTTGAGTTGTCTTATTATTAATTAAATCGTTTTTTTTAAATATATAAAATGAATTCACACGACTCAAAGAGATTTATAAAAAAATGTGTTGTTGAAAAAACGCTCGAAGAAGCAAAGATAATCCATTTTCTGAGAAAGAAAAGCTACACATATTCACATTTATGTAGATTGAGCTTGTGAATGTATCAAAACTGAATGAAAATAGATTAATCAATAATGGACATTGTTGCAGGCTAATCTTCGTTTGATCAACACATCGGTTAAATAGATCGCAGCTCTGATCACATTAAGCGAAGCATGTGCGTGAGATAAATGTATAGATCAAAGCGTCATCTCTAATTGTAAAGTATATATTGCCACATTTAGTTTTTCTGAATGGTAAGGCTGCTGTGAAAATGTGTAAAATGTTTTTTTTGCAATAGTGGAGCAAGGCACTCATTTGAAGTCCCGTGAAGCCCGGACGCATAGCAATATTAATGCGCTTTAATGTCTTACATATGCAAAGCCCTGAGGTCACGACACAGGTCAGGGGTCGTTGATCTCTTCCAAACAATTTTGCCTTCTCTTTCCAAATGGAATGAGAGAAACGGATCAACTCCCCCTGCATTCTTTCAAATCTGCACAGAAAATTACCTTCCCAAATTCCCCGGGGTTACTGCCGAGGCATACGGGACAACGGTTCACCGAGGAGAAGAAACTCAAGTTCTTAAATCACATTTCATTAACCCAAAAAAACACAGGAGAAGTTTGAGTGCTTTTAGATATGATGTCCGAGGGATCAATCCTATAAATGCTCTCAAATCTATGTTCAATTATTTACAGATTCTCGGTTGTTATATATTTGTGACATTGACACGACATTTTTTTTCTTTATTTCAGGCACAGTGAAGGTTAAAAGCAGCGGCATCCAAGTTGGAGATCTTATAATCGTGGAGAAGGTTTGTCAAAGATCAAACATCTGTGAACAGTTTTGCTTTCCCCAACTGTCCAGTTAGCATTTATATGACAGCGAATAACGAGGGGGTTGTTAATGTGCCGTGCTCTGCTGGTGAGAGAGGTGAAAGGAGTTAGTAAAGATTTTGTATTCTTCTGATCAATGCTGACTCTCCGCCTGTCAAGCTGAGCCTAAAATACCTTTTTAATTAGATCCCAAACAAATTCGATTAAGCACTTTTTTATTGATATGTATTTTTTTGTTGACATCATGAAATCTGATAGTGTAGTTTTTTTAAGATATCTAATTTAGTGTGTGTTTTCTGAGGGGAATCTGTTGCGTCGCAGATTGAATTCTCTGAGGTCTTTGTACATGAAACATGAGAAGTGAGACCTGTTTCCAAACGGCAGGCTTCTTTCTGAATCACTCATTTCAAAGCAGCTGAAGGAAAGGTCACACGTGTTGTCCTAGACGTTTCTCTAATATGACCGAGTGATCCAGAGTTATGTTAGGACTCAGAAGCAGACAAAAAAGCATGTTTTTGACGTTATTCTTCACCACTGATCAATAATCCATGCACGGTTCCGTTTTTGGGGAAGCTGTCCAGATGAGTGGATGCAGAATGTGTTTCGTGTGGTGGACGGAGCGGGTCAGGCAGAGTGTAAAACCTGGTGAGGGTCCTGCTCGGGCCACGACAGGATGATTTGCTGCAGGGCTTATTATTTTTGACTGACTGGCTGCCGGTAATGTGGCACATGAAAAGCTAAACGTCTCTACCGAAAAGTGCAAGATCCGGAAGTGATGTTAAAGTGATGTTTTTCTTTCTGCTTTTCTTTTTTCGTAGAACCAGCGAGTTCCTGCTGACATGATCTTTTTAAGGACCTCGGAAAGAAATGGTAAACATCTGCTGGTCATTCATCCAGATCACCACAACAGGCTGGCTGGCTGGCTGGCTGGCTGGCTGGCTGGCTGGCCGGGGGAAATGACTTGTTTAAAAGAAAAGGCGCTGAGGTGCAGGGATTAGCCCTGAGCCAGGACAGGAAGTCCTACAATGTCTAAATTGTAATTGAGTCCAGTACTAAACTATCACTCAAAGCGCAGCGTAGTGGAGAGTGGGTAATGTAGACAAAACACGGCTCCCTCCTCTCATCTTCGCTAACCCGTTTTGTCTTTCAAATGAGAAGACCATGAAAAGGAAGATGGAAGGACACACAGATATCAAATGCAAAGAGAACACAGCAGGCTTCATCTGAATAATCAAATAAGGATTAAGACAAGATTTGTGATAACACGAAGATGGGGAATTGCATCGCACTTATTTATTTGCACATATACAAAATACATTACAATTGAATTCAAAGTACCTCCAAGGAACAGCACATCAAAAATCACATCACAGGGGCATGTTGTGTGTGAGGTAAATCTAGATGCATGTTGTTGTTGTTGTTGTTGTTGTTGCCACTTCCTGTTGGAGGAAGGAAAACAACAGCTTTGTTTTACTGGAAATGTGCAGCTTGGTTATCTCTCTTCCATGTGGAGGCCATTAGGTCAATTATGAAGGGCCTAGGCCAGGATTGAGAGTTTTGGGCAGGATGACGCACGTAAGCCGGTGTGGGGGGATGGGATCCACTTCTATCCCAGAAGTGATATGCAGCTGTGTCCCATTCACAGGAGTTGCTGCTGATCATTTGTGCTAAATGATTTTATTGCCCTTTTGGTTGTTAACTTGAAGCGTCAGAAGAAACTCAGAAAGCAGCAACAGTTGACAGAAGCTTCCAGTATCTGTTGAAATGTAAAAATAGTGACTTGCACGATCAATGCCTCCAAGAATAGAGTGGGATGTCCTCTCTTCAGGCAAGGCATGGCATGTTTATTTATACAGCGCATTGCAACACAAGGCAATTCAGAGTGCTCAACACTGAACATTTGGATGTAGTGCAACATTAGAAAATGTCATAAAAAAGCCAAGAGAATAGCAATTAAACAAACTAAGGTATACATTACACGAATAAGTTACAGTGCCGTGTAAGATATGAATAGTTATTTGATTTATAAGGCAGTGAGAAGTCATTGGCAAAATAAAAGTCTTCAGTCTTAATTTTAAATAAGTTAGAGTTGCAGTTTTCTGAGAGTTTGTTCCAGATATATGAAGTATAATAACTAAACGCTGATTTTCCATGTTTAGTTTTGACTCTGCAGACAGAAAGCAGACCTTTACCAGACGATCTAGCAATCTAGAGTATCAAGTATCAGAAGATAAGAAATGTATTTTGGCCCGAATACATCTAGTGCTTCATAAACCAATGATTATATTTTGGAGTCACTGATTTGACATACAGGGAACCATTGAGGTCCAATCTTCAGTTATGGATCTCACTTGTTGATTTGATTTAGTTCTCCAGATGCAGCTGTCTGACACAAGACTTGCTAAGTTACAGGAGTTCAGTCTGATGAATAAGATAAATGCATGGACATGTTTTTACCAAACCCTGCTGAGACACAAGTCTTTTAATCCTTCAGTCAGGGTGTCCGCGGGGTCTTAAAGTTGATAAATCAATTTAGCGAAAATGAAAACTATTAAAAAGTATTAAAGGGCATTTTCCAAGGTATTACATTTTGTAGCTTGTTTCCAATAAGTATATAAATTGTCCAAAGAGGTTGTATTCTACAGTCTGCCTGAATGTAATCATTGCGTAGGTGTGTAGTGTGATTCTGTGTACTTTATTTATGGCATCCCGTTGGATCTGACGTCATCTGAACAGGACATCGCACGCTCACTGCTTGATAGCACGCGAAGCTCCGTTTACGCCGGTTGCTAAGCAACATCGTTATGGGGAAATTCAAGTTTGCGTCCAAATGGTTGGAAGATAAGGAGGAAGGACAATCAATACTGTATATAGTCAATGTGAGGTAAAGTGTGTCGCCAAGGTAACCGGTTAGAACTCAAAGTTGCGATGAGGTCTTAAAATGTATGGGAAGGGCCTTAAGAAAGGTCTTACATTTGACTTCAGGGTTATAGTAGTCTGACTTTAAATGGACCTTTTGTATCTGATGAAATTCAGATGGATACAAGCTTATCTATTGTTGCCCCCTAGGGGTGAATGTGTTTCCTCCATGAGTCTTCAGCTCTCGTCTCTCCTCCCCAGGCTCCTGCTTCCTGCGCACTGACCAACTGGACGGAGAGACGGACTGGAAACTACGCCTCCCAGTGGCCTGCACTCAGAGACTGCCCACTGCTGGTGTGAGTCATAAAATAGAGGACAGGCTCAGGAGTAAATGATATGCTGTGTTTATGCCATTGCTGTGCTTTGTGTTTAGCGAAATAAGTGCTGAGGAAGACGTGTAATTGCACTATGGTCTCAGAGAAGCGCGTCATTAGGACAGAGGAGTTATTTGACTGAGTGCAGGGTGGCCCGCTCATCACAGAGTGACTTAAAGTTCAAAGGTTAACCTCAGGCTCTATGCTCCCCATGAGTGTTAAATTAGTTAGGGGCTTCAAATGAATATTTTTTCATTGAAATGTTCTTTAGTCATGACAGTGGTCTCTATTTAACAGTTCAATCAATATTAAACAAACAAGTGTTAACTACTTACATTTCATTTGGCTTTAGTCTACAATTGGTATTTGGTTTGTTAGCAGATTCATTTGTATTACTTAACAACGATTGTGACGTTTGACTATAGACTTGACAAACTATTGTAACAGATCTTTTTACTATTATTACGAAACCTAATTATTTTGATGGACAGCAATACACTTTACTTAGTATGTAGTAAAAGGCTTAACATGGCTCTCATTGGTCAAGAGCAGAATCAATTATTCAAGCGTCGAAAATTACAACTATATTGATATTTTATTATTTGTAAATAAACGTGTATATCTTTGGCTTTTGGAATATTAGTAAGACACGTTTTTTTTAAATGACCATGTGTTTGGTGTTTACAGGACCTTCTACAAATCAGATCATATGTGTATGCAGAAGAGCCAAACATTGATATCCATAACTTTGTTGGAACTTTCACCAGGGTGAGTGCTAACACTACTATTCTGTTGAAGCCTTAGTCCCTTGTGTGCAACCATTTTACCTTTTTTATTTTCATGAATGAAGAAATCTGGCAGAACGTTTTACATACAGCATGCGAGTCCTACACTTTAATGAAACATCAAGCAGAGTTATTTGTGATAATGTTAATGTGAATTAATTGGATTCACTGTTTAGAGGTGTTGATGAGTCATTAGTTTAGGCTTATAAGTTAGATATCCATAAGTCATGCAACCTTTTGGGAGATCAAAGATTGCCTTCTTCCTCCTTATCCTAATATTTGTTAGCTGACAGATATATTAGGCCAGCAATGTTAGCTACAGCACTTAGCTAGGGAACATTAGCTATTTTGATAGCGAATTGTAGCTATTTAGCTGGTTAACGTTATCTATCTATCTATCCATCTACCCATCTATCTATCCATCTACCCGTCTATCTACCCATCTATCTATCCATCTACCCGTCTATCTACCCATCTATCTATCCATGAACCTACCCATCTATCTATCCATCTACCCATCCATCTACCCATCTATCTATCTATCCATCTACCCATCTATCTATCCATCTACCCATCCATCTACCCATCTATTTACCCATCTATCTATCCATCTACCTACCCATCTATCCATCCATCTACCCATCTATCTATCTATCCATCTACCCATCTATCTATCCATCTACCCATCCATCTACCCATCTATCTATCCATCTACCTACCCATCCATCTACCCATCTATCTATCCATCTACCTACCCATCTATCCATCCATCTACCCATCTATCTATCTATCCATCTACCCATCTATCTATCCATCTACCTACCCATCTATCTACCCATCTATCTATCCATCTACCCATCTATATATCTATCCATCTGCCCATCTATCTATCCATCTACCCATCTATCCATCTACCCATCCATCTACCCATCTATCTATCCATCTACCCATCTATCTATCCATCTACCCATCTATCTACCATCTACCCATCCATCTACCCATCTATCTATCCATCTACCCATCTATCTATCTATCCATCTACCCATCTATCTATCCATCTACCCATCTACCTACCCATCTATCTATCCATCTACCCATCTACCTACCCATCTATCTATCCATCTACCCATCTACTCTACCCATCTACCTACCCATCTATCTATCCATCTACCCATCTATCTACCAATCTATCTACCCATCTATCTATCTATCTATCTATCTATCTATCCATCTACCCATCTATCTACCCATCTATCTATCTATCTATCCATCTATCAAATGTATGGCTCTCATCATTTCAAAACTAATGACTATTTAACACACTATGGTCAGACTTGCAGTGTGGACCTGTGTCTGACGTTCAGGCAGTGAGAATGGTTATAAAATCGTAGTTTTCTTTTTTAAAGCAGACGTGCAAAACTTCTTCAAAAAAAACTATAACAATTTGTCATCTCGACTGTTACAGGAAGACGGAGACCCTCCAGTCAACGAGAGTCTCAGCATTGAAAACACTCTGTGGGCCAGCACCGTTGTTGCCTCTGGTAAATAACTGACCTGGGGCGCTGCCCTTCTGTTAGGGGGGGGTAAAACCCAGGAAGTAACCAGGACCCACTTTTGCCTTTAGGGCAGAGGCTGACTGAAGCGATGACCTGTCTAACCAAAAACAGATCATTGACAGCTCCCAATTGGCTCTGAACGATTTAAAAAAAAAAAGTGTTTATTTTGACTGAGATTGCATTGTGCTATGAATCACAATATTGGAGATTCAACACTATTCTCATAATCATTGAAAGATATATTTTAAATGACCATGGTGTGAGTTTTTCCAAGCAATGATATCAAACTAAGTCCATTGGATACAATTTGTAAAATGGAATATCTACGCAGTGTGAGTGTTTTCAAATGTCATTTTATATCATTGCTTTTAAATGAGTGTTTTTAGATATCATTTTATAATATGTTTCTTAATCTCTCTCATTTTTGTAAAGCACTTTGAATTGCCTTGTGTTGAAATGTGCTATATAAATAAACTTGCCTTACGCAATACCACAATCCTTAATTTTAGAATAATTTGTACATATTCTTGTAAGAAATTTTGCGTCGGTAATCTCATTATTAATTATGAAGCCTAGTTTACCGTAATGGTAAAGAAAGTATGTATCTATAGTCGGAAACATGAAGTGGCAAACGTATCTAACGTCACTATAGGCTATATCAAATGTTATCCATTAAACAATTGTAAATCTGCATCCTATAATCCAAATGACATTCATCATTTAAAAATATTCTTGTCCAGATTAGTAGTCTGGGAAACATCTTCTTGACGTTCTGTGTTTTATCATGTACCTTAATTATATATATATATATATTGACCTGAGGCAGCTTTTTAAGTTCTCTTCCCTCTCCCTCTCTGCAGGCACGGTGGTGGGGGTGGTGATCTACACCGGCAGGGAGCTGCGCAGCGTCATGAACACCTCCAACCCCCGGCACAAGGTACAGTAGTGTGAAGCACAGCCTGAACAACAACATTAGATCACTTAGTTCAGGGTGTCCGCGAGGTCTTACAAAGTATTAAAAGTTGATAAATCAATTCAGTGAAATTAAGGCTATTAAAGGGCATTTTCCAAGGCATTACATTTTGTAGCTTGTTTTCAATAAGTATATAAATGGTCCAAAGAGGTTGTATTCTACAGTCTGCCTGAATGTAATCATTGCGTAGGTGTGTAGTGTGATTCTGTGTAGTTTATTTATGGCATCCCGTTGGATTTGACGTCATCTGAACAGGACATCGCACGCTCACTGCTTGATAGCGCGCGAAGGTCCGTTTACGCCGGTTGCTAAGCAACATCGTTATGGGGAAATGCAAGTCTGCGTCCAAATGGTTGGACGATAAGGAGGAAGGACAATCAATACTGTATATAGTCAATGTGAGGTAAAGTGTGTCGCCAAGGTAACCGGTTAGAACTTGAAGTGGCGATGAGGTCTTATGGAAAGGGTCTTAAAAGGGATTACATCTGACTTCAGGATTCCTTCATATACCCTGAAGTTACACACAGAACAATTTGCACATATCGTAATCGCACTACCTGCTTTTACATTTAATAACTCCANAGGACAATCAATACTGTATATAGTCAATGTGAGGTAAAGTGTGTCGCCAAGGTAACCGGTTAGAACTTGAAGTGGCGATGAGGTCTTAAAATGTATGGAAAGGGTCTTAAAAAAGGTCTTAAAAGGGATTACATCTGACTTCAGGATTCCTGCATATACCCTGAAGTTACACACAGAACAATTTGCACATATCGTAATCGCACTACCTGCTTTTACATTTAATAACTCCAACACTTATTGCTTTCATTTATTAGTTGGAGAAGGAAACATGCAGATTAATCATCACGAGGACTTGAGTTCATCATGTAAATATGCCAGTTGGATGTCATTGTTTATATTTTGAACCCATATGTAAGGCCTGCTATAATCCCACTTTGACAAAAAAAGCGTATATCTGATAGCGTATATCTAATCTAATCTAGTTTAAATGAAGATTGAGGATTTTAGTGGAATTCATCCTTAGAATAATAAAATAACTTGTTTATATTTCTAATTTGCTTACACCTGTATATTGGACATACACAGATTAGTTTAGCATTATTTTAACTCATCATGTCTGCTCACTCTAGGTGGGTTTGTTTGACTTGGAGGTGAACTGTTTGACTAAGATCCTGTTCGGGGCCCTTGTGGTGGTGTCGCTGGTCATGGTGGCCCTTCAGCACTTTACCGGCCGTTGGTACCTCCAAATCATTCGCTTCCTGCTGCTCTTCTCCAACATCGTGCCCATCAGGTACGACTTCATATCCTGGACTTTAAAGACATCTGTATTCTTGCTTTCATGCTCTTAATGTCTTTCATTTGTGTAAAGCACTTGTGTTGAAAAGTGCTATATAAATAAAATTGCCTTGCCTTTGGTACATATAAAAAACACAATTTTTTTTTTTTGATGCAGTTTGCGTGTCAACCTGGATATGGGGAAAATGGTTTTCAGTTGGATGATAAAGAAAGACTCCAAGATCCCCGGGACGGTGGTGAGAGCGAGCACCATACCGGAGCAGCTCGGACGCATCTCCTACCTGCTGACGGACAAAACAGGTTAGACTGGGACGTGGCAGTAAGGAGCAGGGTTGGTTAAAGTATTCAGAACCTTTACTTAAGTAAACATACTAATACGACTCTGTAAAAACATTCCATAACAAGTCAAAGTACCTCATAAAGAATGGTACTTAAAGTGTAAAAGTACTTGTTGCACATCAAAATGACAACACATTTAAAGGGGAAAGCAGTAAATCTTCACAATTTAGAATCTCGAAGTGTGAAATGTTCTCTCAAAAAACGTTTTGCTCGTTGTTTAAGGTACCTAAATATAATGTTGGGTAGTTAAATTAATATCAAAGCATTATATTCCACATTCTATTCCCGAGTGTTTTGTCTAAAAAATCTGCATTTATAAAGTTACTAGGAACTAAATCTTCCTAATCCATAAATGTTGTGGAGTAAAAAGGACAATATTACAGTTCGAACTGTAGTGGAGTCAAGAAAATAAAGTACAGGCACCTAAAATGTGTACCCAAGTGCAATACTCAGAGTAAATATACTCCGTTACTCTCCAACTGGTTAAAAGCAGCATGCTTGACATTAAAACAGCCGTAGCCTTGTGGCTTATAGAAGCACAGAAGCCAGCCTGTGGAGCAGTAAAGTGAGGAGTTATAGTGCAGAGGATTTGCCGAGGAAGTATCCAGTAGGACAGAGTTAAGTCGTTTCCTTCCCTGGGGGGTTTAGCTCTGCGGTGGGGTCTCTGCTCCCTGCTACTTATTGGACCCTTAAATCATAAAAAAAGCCTCTCATCCATACACACCTTCAGAGCACAACACCTCCACCAGTGCACTTCCTCAGGCGCGAGGTGTTACAGGTCAGATTTATAGCCCTCGTGACCAATAAAGTGATCAGCCTCTCCCCCTACCCAGAGCGTGATAAGGCCGGCGGGGTCCGCGGGTCAGGCTAATGTACGCGCGAGGCCCCTGAGGTCTTTTTGATATACTGGCGGAAAATGCTTTTAAAGTGAGTGTGAGGATACAGAGGGAAGGCTTCTGGCTTCCTTACCATATTTTTCCAATCACCATATGTGACATGCTAACTCTGTTTTTAGTAACTGCTTGTAAATCCAAACACTGTAGACGCACTTTAGATATCTTTTGTGACCAAGTTTTTACTACATTTCCCACCCTTTTTCACAAGATGACAATTACCATACAGAGACAAATAATACAAGTGTGAATACAGGAAAGAGCATAAGGGCAAAGCCTGCGGTTTGTTTGTTCTTCTTGTGTGTCAGTCATCCACACCAATCAGAAGTGCTGTGCTCAAACCGCAGGCTTTGCCCTTATGCTCTTTCCTGTATTCACACTTGTATTNCCCGATCGGGCAACCAGCAGGTGAGGCTTCATTGCCCGAGCTAAATACTAGATGGCCCCGGGCCATCGGGCAGTTCTTAATGTCGAGCCCTGGATGGAGCATTACTAACCCGACTCAGATGGTTTGTTTCACCAATCTAGGAAAGCTCCATTGGAAGCCATTTGGAAAAGTATTTCAAAAATACTTGGCAGGTGATTGGATCAATCTGTCTATCACCTTCTATCATGGGCCACTTCTGATTGGTTAACAATGGCTGGTACATGTGGAGCACAGCACCTCTGATTGGTGTGGATGACTGACTCACAAGAAGAACAAAATGCTCTTTCCTGTATTCACACTTGTATTATTTGTCTCTGTATGGTAATGTCATCTTGTGAAAAAGGGTGGGAAATGTAGTAAAAACTTGGTCACAAAAGATATCTAAAGTACGTCTACAGTGTTTGGATTTACAAGCAGTTNCTTCTTGTGTGTCAGTCATCCACACCAATCAGAAGTGCTGTGCTCCACATGTACCAGCCATTGTTAACCAATCAGAAGTGGCCCATGATAGAAGGTGATAGACAGATTGATCCAATCACCTGCCAAGTATTTTTGAAATACTTTTCCAAATGGCTTCCAATGGAGCTTTCCTAGATGGTTTGGTGAAACCAACCATCTGAGTCAGGTTAGTAATGCTCCATCACATGTTAATCTATTACAGGGTGAATCTTAAACTGAAGCTTGACTTCAAAGCAACCCAACGGAAGTTTGTTGTAAGTTTAGTTCTTTCACTCGTAGCTCGGGCTGCGGGGGTGCTAGAGACGGGAGCATGTTGAAGCGACCTTCCTAGCCGGCGATATGTCCGCATTTTACAATAAACTTCCGTTGGGTTGCTTAAAAACAAATATCGCAAATCGAATCGCAATATCTGTCAGAAAAATCGCAATTAGATTATTTCCCCAGATCGTACAGCCCTAAGAGGGAGTCTCTTGTCCACTCCCATCCCACCCCTCTTGCTGTACCAAAAAATGATAGATCTTGTTTGTTTGCAATCTTACAGTTAATCTTTTAACACACATTTTAACATATTCATTTATAATCCATGCATTCTATGATGTAACATTTCATTGTTGTACACATTGGAAATGTTTCCAAAATTACAATCATTTCGAAACCAAAATGTAAAACACCACCATTACATTTTTTTTCTATATATTAAGGCTGCATGATTTTGAAAGATATCTGATTGGGATTTTTATTTGTACTTTAGGATTCACAATATTGCTCATATTTGCATCATAATTCACATTATCATTGAAATATATCTATATATTTAAATGTAGGGTTTGGTTTTCAGGAAACCAAGCTAATATGTTTTATTAAGTCTGTAGATTACGGTTTGTAGGCTGGGATATCTCTATGGCTCCTCAATACTTTGTTGCAACAAGTACCTCGAATGGATTGATAGCATTGAACAAGGAGTGATGACAGCCACCCAAAACAGTTCTTTAAAACATATTCAGCTTTACTCTGCTCCCTGAGATTCAAATATTACACTAGTCCATATTTTGAAATGTATCAAAATTCAAATCATTGTGCATAAGTATCACATGTAGCACAGTACGCTTAATTAAATCTAATATTTTAAGGGGATTTTCATACTTTTTCAACACCTTTTTTTAATCCAATCTTTACCAGGAACTCTCACTCTGAATGAAATGGTGTTCAGGCGCCTCCATCTTGGAACGGTGGCGTACGGGATGGACTCGATGGATGAAGTACAGAGCCATGTGTTCAGCGCCTACACACAGGTAAGAACAACATGTCTACGCAGTGAGAAGAAATCACTGAACATCACTCATTTAGAAAAAACAAACAAAGAAGAAAAGATTGAAATTCCAAAATCTTGGGAAAGGCTCAAACAAACAGCCGCGAGCATTGTTTTAAGAAACGTATCGGTTTGTGATTATTGTTTGGTTGAATGCTTCCTGACCTCAGATGACACTCTTTGTCCCCCTTGACACCAGAGGTTAGCGAAGCAGGAAACAGGATTAGCCCACAAGCAAAGCACTGACCGGACTTCTTAAATGACGCTGCCATTAACCCCTGGCACGCACAGGCGGCTAAAAATAGCAAGGGCACAATGCAGAAGCAAATGTTCAAATGTACTTCTCACATCTGGTTATGTTTACAGGCCACTATCACAGCAATCATGGGAACTGCCGTTAGCGAAACGGCTCGTTTCTCAGACTAAAAACTCCAGTTTAAAGTGAGCAAAGTGTGTTCATGGGTCACTTCACAATTGGAGGACAATTTAGACATCAAACTTTCTGAGAAGTTAACCCTGCAGCGCTTATTGGTGTGCTAGAAGCCTGTAGAAATGGTATATATGTATTTTAAACTTTTGATCTAACTATAATTTAAACACAGTTGAAGAAAATATTATAAGTTGTTGCATCATGCTTAGGCTACCTGGTGGCAATAAATAAAAAGCAGTTTATATTCTGTGGAAATAGATGATGCTAAATAAATGATACATACACATTTCATTTGACTGCAGATAATGAATTGAACGGCAGAAAATGTAACTCTTGAACTGTTAATATTCTAATTATTGAAAAGGCGTTGCAAGTAACAATGATAGCAAAAGCCTAGAAGGAGGGACAATAGAAAAATGCCATTTTAGGGGGAGTTTGAGAGATTTGAAAGTGCATCCATTGCATGTTGAAGCATTTTGGGCATTGGATTATTTGACATTTCATACGTGGGACAGAACATTTCCTCCGAATCCGGAATGACCCATAAAGCGTGTTCATACAGTTTGTTTATAGAGTGGCTAAAACCCGGAAGTGAGTTAGCATTTTATCACTTCCTGTTCCCTCGTCTCAGAGCCAATGGGATTTCTCCATAGGATTTTGGAAAATAGCTGGAAATAAGGTCTGTGGGTGAGACACATTGAAGAGACGGATCACGTTTTGTTCTACGACATTAAATCCATCAGCAGTGACCCCACTGGTGATTTCTGAAGAGTTTACGTGTCTGAAAAACGATGGTTGTTAACAAGTGGCTGAATAGGACTACAGAAGTTGAGGCCGTTGTACGTCATTACGGCGAACACGTAAACACTCCTCTAAGTCTTGTTTGCCCTGTTCTGCTTGAAAGCAAGTTCCTGCCTCCTGCAAACTGTTCAAACAAACGCTTCAACTTGTACAATTTAAAATCTGTATGTTTGAATATGGATCTTAAGTTGGCGTGACGTTGAAGCAGCGACCCTGCTGTAGTTTCTTTATAGCATAACGTTAGCATTTTGCTTCTGGCGACTAGATTTATGATTAGAAAATTATAAAAGTAGGTTAGACATGTGGAGATTATCCGGCTGAACAAAACGTGCATTTATCAAACGGGTTCGTTTTCCACAGACCTTATTTCGAGCTATTTTCCAAAATCCTATGGAGAAATCCCATTGCTTTTTTGTCGAGGGAACCCATGCAGCTTACTTCTGGGTAAATACGTCATCCCTGCACCACTCTATAGTCAGTACAGTTTGACATTACAGATTATAAACTGTACTGGCTTCAAAAGCTGCCTTCACTTAAAAAAACCTTGAAGCCACTCTGAAAGATTCCCATTAGAAAAAGGTAATACCTCTTTTCAGATCCCTCTAGTATGTCACCTTTTGATCACACTGCCTTTTGTCCTTTTCCTGCAGCCCAGCCATGACCTCCAAGCCTCCAGAGCTCCAGCAGCCACTAAGGTCCGCAAGACCATCAGCAGCAGAGTCCACGAGGCGGTGAAGGCCATCGCGCTGGTGCACAACGTGACGCCCGTGTACGAAGCCAACGGTGTGACGGACCAGGCCGAGGCGGAGCAGCACTATGAAGACACGTGCAGAGTGTACCAGGCCTCCAGCCCCGATGAGGTACGATGGTCCGACACAGGAACATGTACCTTACACTAGGGGTGTCCAAACCTTTTTCACCGAGGGCCACATACAGAAAGATATACAAAGGGCTGGGTCACTCACTAGAGCAGGGGTGTCAAACTCAATATCATCACGGGCCACATTAGCATTGTGGTTGCACTCAAAGGGCCGGTTGTAACTTTAAGACTATATAAAAATACATATATAAATATTTAATATATATAAAATAATGTATTATATTACATTATTGCCTCTGCATTGGATTATTATCAGGTAATAACTTCATAATTAACTACGTCTGAAAGCAGAAGTCTAGAGAAAATAATTGCAAGTCTCTTCAGTGAGAATGTCACAAAATGATTTAAAAAGAAAGTCAAATTTAATTTAAAAAAAAGTTAAATTTGAGATGCATTGTGGGACATGTAGTTTATGGACAACGTGCTTCTGTAAATCGGCAAGTAACCGTATTTGCAAGCTCTTGTGGGGCCGCATAAAATGAAGGCACGGGCCGGATTTGGCCCCCGGGCCTTGAGTTTGACACCCCTGCACTAGAGGTATATCGCCTCATAAGTTCAGTTTTATAAGTTAGCAAAATCAATCAAATGTAGGTAAATGATGCTTGTGAGTGTTGGCAGCTCATCCCTTCAAACAGAAGCTCAGGTTGATTATAATAAGGAGAAATAGGAAGGGTCTATTTCTAGCTTGTTATGTAAATGAGTCATTGGGCTTTTTTCTTATAAATTTAGATTTGTTAGAAAATGTTTCCAACTTGAATTGACTGAATTTATTTGAAAAGTTCTTATTAACACATGAATACTACTGTGTGATATATTTGTACATGTATATTTAAAAAGTACAATATAAGACAAGCACAAGTTTCATTTGCGGGAACATATTCCTTTATACTTTTTGAATTTGATGAGGGCCGATTCAAAATGGTCCCCGGGCCGTAGTTTGGACACCCCTGTCTTACACCAACTACAACTATTGAATTCCTCTCCTTTTGTCCTGCGTCTTTGTGCAGTACATCCATCAAATGATATACTTGAATTCACATAGAAGCTACACAGGAAATATATGTTCAAACACGTCATCTTGGCCTGTTGGGAAATGCACACCGTATCTACTTGAACATCATTTTCTCAAGGACAAACATTGACAGTTTGTGACCAGACTTCCGATCTTAAGACGGTGTTCTCGCTCCTTCTCAGTAAAGGCCATTATCTCGAGTGTCTTCCCCTGATTTCAAAAGCCATAACGGCCTTCCACGTTGATGTCCTTGATCTGTATGAATTGTTTGAACTTCAGGAAGAGGGCTGCAGGAATCCGACTTGTATCCATTTCCTGCAATGTAAATACGGATTTCCTTAATGGGCTCCCCAGGCCATTGCACTTACACCCTTTTGAATTTCCACTTTGATAGCATATTTTAATAGTGCGCAGGACGTCGAATGCGATTAAAACACTGTGGTTTATATGGTGGGAAGGAAATTGAGCAGTTTTATGGTTTTTGGTGGATAGAAAGGTAACCGTTTATTTGTCTCTGAAACACTACAGTAAGATTCAGTTTGCTCTCCAACAGCTTTCAGGAAGTCTTAAAATAGATTTTGGTTGTGAGCGTTATGGACGACCGCTAAATGCTGTCAAAACTGAATTTTTTTTTAAGATGTCTGCATGCCAATGATAATAGGAGTTTTTGCTCTGGTAATCAAACGGGTGATTGAAATGATGTGTTATTATCCAACCAAGATAGTTCTGAATCACTTTCCTCTGCTCTCGTAAAAAACGTCAGTTGTGCGATTGTTCTGAGTCAAGCCAAATGGATACAGCATTATTCAGTCCAGTTAGAAATCTGCAGTGGATTTTGAAACTGCGATTACAATGCAGCGCTGTTGTGGTAACCAGATGCAAGAATTCCCCGTAAGTGAGTATTTCTAGACGGTGACTAAGTCTTATTTCCCAAAATGCATGACCAACATTACGGTAGTGAGAGCTTTTATGACGTGAAAGTACTCGTGGCCTGGCATTGTCAGACTACATGGTCACGTATTTGTATAAGAAGTGATTTCTCAACAATAAAAAAATGTGCGGTTTAGCGTTAGCATTGACATTCGATTGTTTACTCTCATCTGTGTCCATTTGGCCGTGTGCTTATTAGGCCTGTCAGAAGATGGATGATGGATTGGGGATGTGAAGTGACTTCAGGTCTGGAAGTCTTCTCCCTCACACACGTAACATTGATTTAATGGAAGTCGTCTGTTGTGTCCTTCAGAGAGGAGACAAAACTATATTTTCACTTCAGAAATTGACATTTACGGAGCTTATCAATCAATAGTGTTGAGTGCTGAAAATGTTTGCGTTATTGATTAAGACTAAATGGTTACTGTGCTTTCTACTCTGTCCAAAGTGCCTTTAATTGTTTGTTTTGTATTCCAAGTAATAGAACATATTGATATAAAAAGGCTTACACATAATCATTTGTTCTTTTCATTTACGTCATCTTAAACAAAGACAAATCAGAAAAAATACTGAATTTATGCCGGGATTTATTAGCATTACGACTATACTTCATGCAGATACTGTCCTTGGATACAATTTGGATATTGCACTTATCAATACTGCAATTTCAAATCAATTTATTGTGCCGCCCTAATGAGAAAAAAAAAAAGCTCTGGTTACTTTTCCCCTCTTGCTGTGTGCAGTTCAATGATGTTTTATTATTTGATAACAACCTAAAAGCAGTATCAGATCAGCACTGCAGCCTGTCCGTCTGTTTCCTCTCCTAGTCACGTATCAATGAGCAGCCAGTAAAGCTTTTCCCCGTGGTGTTGGTAGGTGTCGCTGGTGCAGTGGACTGAGAGCGTGGGTCTCACTCTGGTGGGAAGAGACCATTCCTCCATGCAGCTGCGGACCCCTACTGGACAAATACTGAACTTCACCATCCTGCAGATATTCCCCTTCACCTACGAGAGCAAGAGGATGGGCATCATAGTGCGAGTGAGTGACAAGATCATTCAGTTTGTCCGTCAGCTAATTGCAGGTTGTTTTATATGTGCTTAAAATAAATTGAACGGACTTCATAGTTTGTTTGATTTTCTTGTTTGTCAGTGGTTGTTGCTATGTGGGCGACTGTGTCTCAATACTTTACCAAGACAAACAGAATTTAATAATCCTCATTATCTGATAGAGACCTCACCTCCTAACCTCGCTCTGACTAAGTCTGATGACTAACTTTACTTTTGTTGGCTGGGATTTACCTCAGGAAGCCCGGATGTTAAAACTTCCTCAGGATAATATTTTTGAACTCTTTGTGAAAGCCCTTGTGTATACCAAAATAAGTTGAGCATTTCTAGGCAACCCAAAATCATTGAATAGTGGGCATGGAGCGGAAATCCTGAAACAAACTGGGTTATTCAATTGAACATGTATAAGATCCGTCTATTTAATTTCTATTTCTATGTGAATAAATTGTTTTTTTAGGATGAATCTACTGGAGAGATCACTTTCTACATGAAGGGTGCAGATGTGGTGATGGCAGGCATCGTGCAGTATAACGACTGGCTGGAAGAGGAGGTACAATCTTGATAGTATAACTATTATATATGAATGTACAGACTTGGTGATACGCTAATCCAGATGTTGCTGACTTTGTTTTCAGTGCGGGAACATGGCGAGGGAAGGCCTCAGGGTCCTTGTGGTGTCAAAGAAGTCCCTGACAGAGGAGCAGTATCAAGATTTTGAGGTAAGTTTAGTGTATTTAGTTCACACTAATGAAGATGTCAATCACTAAAGCTACAATTCACTTCAGTGCAGGAGACGAAAGGAAGCCTGAAAGGGTTATTGAGAGTCCTCTTATTGAAGTACAAAAATGGCGTTATTACCTATCATAGACAAATCAACACATTCCAAAAACATTACATTACATGTCACTTGTTAGACCCTTTTATCCAAAGCGAGTTAAATACATTCAGTACTGAGGACAATCCCCACAGGAGCAATTTGAGGTGAACTGTCTTGCCCAGGGACACAATGTAATGCTGACTGCAGTGGGACTCGAACTTGCTACCCCCCCCTGATTCGAAGTCCAGCACACTATCCACTGAGCCACACAGCCTCCAAAACAACACCTCTATACATAAAACACACAGGCAGCAAGGATTAATAGAAGTTTAAGAACTAGAAAAGGGAAATATGAACAACCAACAGAAGCATCTTGCCATTAGGTTCAAGGTGCATGACAAATGACTTGAACTGGTTCTGCAAAGCCAAGGAAGATATTCATTTCAGGTACATACAGTATGTACTGAGTTTAATAAGTGTCGACCTCTTAATTTGATTTAAAAAATGTATGACCTGTGCCTTTTTTGCCATAACATTAACACACAGTGACCTGGGGCTAAACTGAGGACCCCTGACACTACTCACACTCCTATAGTTTGTCTGAATTATGTAAAAAAAAAAGCCGTCACAGCTGTGCAATAAATAGCAGAAATATCAACACATTGTTCAACATTTGTTCAACTCAACTTGCCCTCAAAATCCCCCACAAACGTATAATGATGTTTTATGCAGACATTTTCAGCATTTTTAAATGTCAGAGTGTGTTGCTGACTAATTAGACTCTCCTCTGACCCCCGGCCCTTCAGTCCACACACCCCACCCTCCCACACACACACACACACCCTCTCATTGTGTGAGCAGGGCAGGGCCGTCTCCCCCTGCAGTCTTCGGCCCCTGGCCCGTTTCTGAAGAGTAATTGTGTGAGCAGAGCTGGTGGGTAGCAGTGAGTCACACACACACTGAGTCACACACATAGTTTGTGTTCCTGTATGAGTCACTCAGATTGTTTTTGCTTTATCTCACTCACATATTGCCCTGAAGCTGGAAGGCTGGAGAGGGGCGTTAACCGATTGATATTGTCTTTTAGGGATTTTCAGATTTCTAAATCACAGTAGAATTAAATGCAGGCAATCCCTGTATAGCTTAAGGGAAATGTTGATACCTGTTTACAAGGACATTAGCTTGTCTCTACCCCTGGCTGTTTTCCTGCTTGTTCTTGTTCAACCCGCCATTTTGTCGCTTTCATTTTTTACCCTCTCTATTTTATAATGTTTTTAGTTTATTTCATTCTCTGTGTGAACCGTATGTGAAAGCACTTTGTAACTCTGTTTGAAAGGGGGCTGTATAAAAAGTGATTCTACCTAATGTGTAGTACTTTCATCTCCCCCCCCCACTCAAAATCTTCCCGTCCCTCCCCAGGCACGTTACGTCCAGGCCAAGCTCAGCGTGCATGACCGCTCTCTGAAGGTGGCCACAGTGATCGAGAGTCTGGAGATGGAGATGGAGCTGCTGTGTCTGACCGGGGTGGAGGACCAGCTCCAGACGGATGTGCGGCCCACCCTGGAGATCCTCCGCAACGCAGGAATCAAGGTCTTGAAGGGGGGGGTGGGGGGCTCACAGTAGCAACAAACTAAGAAAACAAAACATAGAGACAAGACCAGAGCATATGTTTTCCTCATCTACCTACAGGAACCAGCCACATCTAAGCACCTCCTTCATGTTTAACAACCAAGATTATAGTGAATTTGAATGAATTATAGAGACATTTGCTCGTGGTTTGGGTTGGCACGCTTCACATGGTTGACGGGAAGTACTTCAACCCACATTTGAATGGAAAAAAGCATTTGGTTTTCTGCAAGGGAACTAGAAATCTGACCAGTCACTGTGATAAACGTTGAGCTGATTGTCAGAGTTGCTGTTTTTCATTTAAAGGGTCGGTTCAGAAATCCTTTATTTGCCCAAGAAACTGTAAGCAGTGCAGATAAGATACACATGTCACTAAAATACAGATCAATTAAGTACATATCCAAGGTATAGAAATGAGTAGCAGATTGCGAGTTAGTGAACATATAATAAGTGGTGATCGGCCACTTTTATCATTATTACATTTTGAAGGTGAATTCACAACAGTGTTGTTAGGTAGATGCGTAGCAATCAGTAACAACAATAGTAAGCTGAAACAAATGTATGTATTGCACATCATTATTAATATTTCACAACAATGCAATACTTAGGTGCGTGTTATTTCATATTTACCCAAAGATGTTCTCACTTAAAGGTGGGGTAGGTAATTCCCTTGAGAAACACTTGTTGTTATATTCCATGGATGCTCTTAACATCCCGATAGCAATGAATACATTAAATGCTTTGACAATAAATCCATAAAAAAATGTCATCTCTGGAAGCCGTGGCGCTGTGAAAAGCACGACCAATCATCTGAGCCGGCCCGGCTAAAATAACTGGATGGCCTACCTGCCTGTCAGCCTTCCATCTGTGCACAAACTTATCTCGTGCCCTCATTGGTCATGTGCGCGTTCGTGTGTGTTGGAGGAGGGGCTCTGTAAGGAAGTCTGAAGGAAGAGGTATATTTTTTTTGGTTGTGTATTTTCAAATTCTAGCACACTCGAGCTGGTTTCTCCATTCTTACCTACCCTACCTTTAACTCGAGTCATAGCAGAGCAGATATGTTTTTTGCTCAGGTTTAAAGATATGTGTCTGTGATGTTTGCCTTCACCAACAGTACAGTGGAGGTTAATGGCATTTAGGTACAGATAGGAAATAGAGGATCAAAAAGCAAATCTATGGTCAATCATCATCACACATTGAAATTACCCCACACACACAGTGGGTGTTTCTTAATGTCGAGGACGGTTCCTTGGTAGGACATGTCTTCCGAGTCACTTCCTTCAGAAGCGAGGCAAGAGTTCCACTCTTCGTTTTCCGAATGCCAGGAAGGATTCTTGCCTCGCTTCTGAAGGAAGTGACTCGGAAGACATGTCCTACCAAGGAACCGTCCTCGACATTAAGAAACACCCACTGTGTGTGTGGGGTAATTTCANGACATACGGAGTTACCACGGTGTCACGCGCAAGGATTTTGGGTCTCTTCACTTGAGAAAAACTTTTATCCGAGCTGTGTTCCAAAACACCAAACTTGGAAATTCTCGCAAAAACAAGCGGCCTATTAGTAGGGGTACAGAGGGATGAAAATAGTGTCTTCGTTTTACGGATTGAAAATACGATAGTTCCTTGTTGTCGTCCCAGCGACGAGTTGCGTGCGGTTGAAGTCTAGGTATAAGGTGTGTGTCAGATTTACCATGCGCAACTTCGCAAACAAAATTGTCCAAACGTCCTCCGTCCTGGAACGAAAGTTCGCTGTCCCGTTGATAAATCGCCCCACAAATGACACAAGCGGCATTACGCATGTTGCCGGAGCTGGTTGAAGACATCAGGAAAGTCGTGAGCAAGTGTGCTAGCAAAAAGTCCTGCAGTTGGAAGCTTTATGGTCACCCCAGTGACCGACTACCTAAATTTATAAGGACTTGTTTTGCACTAGGCAGAGAGAATTTACACAAGAGTTGGTGTCTGGACAGAAAGGTCGATAAAGGTTAGGCAATACCTCTTTAACGAAACGAAAAACAGCTTCTGGCCCGCACGCCATTTTACGGATTGAATGAAGGCCAAAATCCTGGCGGCTACATGACGCTGTAGTGGAACCTTGTGAACACAATGCTAACCGATCACTTTCCGAATCCCGACCGTAGAGATCGCCAACTGCGTTAGGTTGTCTCGGTCGGTCATTGGTTAGTCTCGTCCTGACCCGAGACCAAAGTTCTGCTCCCAACTTTTCTCCACGACGTCGGGTCCGTCGTACTCTGGTTATTTCGAAAAACTTGGAACTCGTACCCTCTAGGTATGAACACTTACAAAATGTCTAGTCTTACGATAGACCTTTCTTACCACTTGCCACGCTGACGTTAATTTTACACGTGTTGCGAAAGTCAAATTGTAGACACTCATATATTGCAGCAACGGAGAACGCGACTTAGTTTGGCTGACTGCAGAAATTCACGGCCACACAACACTTTGGTTAGTCCTACGACTCCGACCGCTAACCAGCGGGAACTATTGAGGAGTACGCTCCCACAACACAACCAAATAATTTACCAGCCAATAGAACGATACCCACTCGTGTGCTCCCTTCCGGGGGACCGAGGTGCGGAAGTTCCTCTTTTGTGCCTGGACGGCGGCAGAACCGCACTATAGCCCCCTAGCCGAACTCCATTTTAGAAGAGCGGTGACTGAATCGAGAGAAATACTTGAGACGGCGGACTATCTAGCGACGGTGCTTCGAGAGACCTACACCCACAGACACCAATCTCAATGGTCGATATCTTCCGGCATCCTGACATTGACATTCAGGTGCGACCTGGGTGTCGACCTAGCCAATATGCACCCCGGATAGACCAACAAAAAGAACGTCCCAACAGACTTTAGGATGCGTATACTCAAGTACCTCGAACGCCAGTCGACAGGGCGACCACCAACGAACGGCACGTGGGGGGGGGTCTTCCGAGTTCATCACGCAGACGATGTCCTACGCGTGGCCCCTTTGAGTGGACGCGACATCCACCAGCCATTGTCTTTCACAGGGTTTCGAAAGCAACTCCCCATGGAAAAGTCAATAAATGTTAACATAACCACAAAAATAAAATGTAAAATGTTGGGAGCGTTTAGACGAGGTTGTATGTACTTGTTTTATATTGCGTTGGGAAAACAAAAACGAAGGGTCAACAAAGTACATCTACTGGAGTTCTAGATGTTGTAAAAAATGGTGTTTACTTGGAAAAGAGAGTTTATAACAAGTGGTTAGACTTTGTTAGACTATCACTCGGAAGAGAAACGGCTCATTAGGTTAAGGGTGGAGTGTCCACACGCGTATAGTTACTACGACTAATCTGTCGTACATAACGGTGGTCCACACGGAATCCGACCGGTTATTGTCCGGTGAGACTTTTGCACGTCCGAAACGAAATAACCCCCCAGACCCCCCAGGCTTTGGTCAGTCATAGACCACACGGTGTAAACCGTAGTTGCGCACGGTTGGTAGAGGAAGCGTACCTCAACTAGTCCAACAACTAACACCGGGACAACCAGGCTAGGAAGAAGTTACCGACACCGTTCGACGACCATAACGCCCCTTTACCTTGTGGCGACAGCATATGGCAGCTAGGCGACCGTAGGGTTGTGAGTTACCGCCGACGGGGACCAATCCTAATCACGAATCCCAGGACTACGACCCTCGGACCACGGCGGACCAACACGGCCTGGGGGGGGTCTGACGCCGGCGCGGGGGTATAGTCGTTCCTGACGCGTGCACAAAATCCGGTCACCCGGAAAACACCGGCGGAGGGGGGGGGGGGGGGAGAGTGTGTGTGGGAGAGTTTATGCTACATGACGTGGTTGTTTCCCAAACATGGTTGATATTTATTGTTTTTATTTCTGCATTTCATTGTTTTAATTGCTGTTGTTGTTGTTGTTTTATGTCTTTCCTTCTTGGCAGACTTGTTTGGTATTTAAATGTTTGTTATTCAACTTAGCGTGAAGGAATGTGAATTGAAGGTGTTGCTGTACAAGAGCTTAATGCTCAGTCAGTTTTTCCCAGAGTAAACAATGGATGATGATGATGATGTTTTAATGATATAGTTCTAGCCTTGTTGTAATGCATCAACCTCATTTCAATGTTGAGAACACCGCAGAAAAGAATGGAATAATTAAAAGTAAGAACTGTAGATAATGAATCCTCATGGTTGATACAGTAAGTGCTTAATAGAGAGGGGATTAAATAATGCAAATGGCTAACTGGGAAAAATACACATAAAACAAACAATAGGTCAGGTTCAAATATAGACCTAAAATATCTCCAGAAATGCAGCTCTGACAAGGCACGGCGTTAATCTGTCAGCAGGAGTCATGCTCTGGTGTGAATATCCTTCAGCCGCTCACTATTCATACGTCAATCCAGATCAGACCATTGGTGGCCACCAGGAAGCTAATCCAGATGTATGTGTAGCCGGCCCCGTCAGCACTCCTCGTCCACTGGGACTGAGGTTTTCAAGCCGTGCCAACCATTGTTATTCTCTTCCAGTAACCGCAGTTGTGCGCAAGTTGTAACCTTCCTACATGGCAGGCTCTCCTTCAGCTCTGGCTCGCTGCCAGAGGGGAAAGGCAGACAGGGGGATTATCAAAGCGGCAAAAAGAGACCGCAACCTGCAAAACAAATTAGGAAGTGAGCCCTCTGCGTGTTCCCTGTGGGAGTGGTTCAGCTGGTTTCTCCTCTCTGTTTGTTCTCTCTGACAGCGGCTCGGATGCTTTCTCTGGTGGGAGGTGATTTATTCAGCTGAGGACGCTGGCTCGGGCTGCATGTTTAGTTATGTGAGGCTGAATGACCACTAGCTAATGGGTCTGGCCTCACAGAGGATGGATGCCCGGAGGTCGAGGGAGTCAGGAAGCTGTTCTGCATTCAACTTGGATGAACCCTTTGGTGCTGGAATCAAGTATTACCCACTATAGCGGCTGTAGTGGGTAAAAAAAAAATCCAGGGGGGGCTAAATGTTCACTCCTTGTGTGTGTTTCGCAACAAAAATAATTGGCACCAGTCAACTAATAACTTCTGTATGTGATTGCGAGTGCAAGTGCCATCAAGAAAATGTAAAAGCAGTCAAATACAACATAATAAATACAGAGACTTGACATGTGGCTCCTCCCACTTTATATGTATAAAAGAGAGGGAGGGGTCCTGCACTCACGGATCTGAAGATGTGGATGTCCTGGTTGCGGGTGATCAGATGTGCGTTCTTCGCCGTGCATGTGGCCGTCTCCAGCTTGTCTCCTGTCAGCATCCACACCTACAAAGAATCCAGAGTAACTTGATTATTTTTTAGATTCCTGAGACGAACCGTTTGAAGACAAATTCCACACAAATGTGAAACTGTAATCAGTCTGTGGATCAACTAAAAAAAGCTAAATTCCAGGGATCAAAGAGTCTAATCAGTAACCTGAACTGCTCTGTCTGCGAGCTGTTTGTGAACTTCTCAGACATTCAAACACACTTACTTTATTGTAGTGCTTCAAACAGAACACCTGATTGATATCTGAATCCTAATTCATTCTCAGACTAATTCTCAATGGTGCCGTTTTTGATGTGGCTTATTTAAGGTTACAGGAGGATTTAAAGGGTTAATGAACCCCCCCCAAAAAAACAGCTGTCCTAATAAAATGTCCTCATAAAGAGTAAAATGTTTTGTCAGGTCTTGAGATGCATCCAAGAGATTATTTCATCTAATAAAACAAATTCAGCAGTAACATGTCACACCCGATCAATGCTCCTGTTATTTTGAAAATGTGGAACTATTTTCTAGAGAATAAGAAGTCCCAATTTAAAATAGTTTGTAGCCTGCTCTATAATTTATAATTTAATTTAATTTCAAAGCTGTGAGCGTCAGGCTCTGCGTATATAATAGCTAATATATTATAATAACTCCTAATACTGGTATGGGATATCAAGGAAGGATGCTCCAGAGACACTATTTCAAGGATGCTACGTCATCGAGTCCCGCCGAAGGACTGTTCCAGGCTCCTTGGAATTCTACCGAGCCCACTAACTGTATCAAAACCCTTTAACCGGGACACGCGTTTCGAACACCCCAAAAATCTGGCGCGCTCCTATGGTACACGTCAGGAAGCTGACAAGCGATGCCTTCNTGGTGAGTTTCATCTTCCCGAACACGAAAGTAGTATCACTTAACGCTAGGGATGGGTATCGTTTGAAATGGATTGATTCCGATTCCGGTTCTTATCGATTCCCCGTTTGAATTCCAAAATTGTAAAAGAAAGAGGTCAAATGTTTAGATAACAAAAATATCTTTTATTCTTTTAAGCTTTAACTGACATTTTTACAAATAAAAAAATATACATGCAATAAAAATGTATTGCACAACAGCTGTGCTTTATTTTAACTGAGCTATGCCTGTGGCAAGCGATTAACAGGCATTACACTGTGCCTTGTCTTTTTACTTTTTTAGTATAGTGGAGCCTCACTTTAGAGCAGGGGTGTCAAACTCAAGGCCCGGGGGCCAAATCCGGCCTGTGACTTCATTTCATGCGGCCCCACAAGAACTTGCAAAGAATATAATATGTTTATTATACGTTTACATGCAGATTTACAGGAGCAAGTTGCCCATAAACTACATGTCCCACAATGCATCTCTCATTTGACTCTTAGAATTTGACATTTTTTCTTCAAATTTCACTTCTTTTTTTGGATTTTAACTTTTCTTTCCTCCAGAATTTGACTTTTCTTTTACAAAACAAAACAAAACAATTTTGTGACATGCGCACTGAAGACACTTTCAGTTATTTGCCCTAGACTTCTGCTTTCAGACGTAGTTAATTATGAAGTTATTACCCTATCAGATAATAATCCAATGCAGAGGCAATAATGTATTATAATACATTATTTTATAAATATCAAATATTTATATATGTATTTTTATATAGTCTTAAAGTTACAACCGGCCCTCTGCGTGCAACCATAATGCCAATGTGGCCCGTGATGAAATTGAGTTTGACACCCCTGCTTTAGAGCGTTTACCGCGATCCATCTGTGGTGTTATGAAGTGACTGAGCTTCAGAGACATGTTTTGTATATATCTGAGGCCTATAATATGTTGATGAAAAACAGGGGACCTTTAATGTGGCGCTCCAGCTAATAACTGTCTCTCAGACTCATCAAACCAAAATAAACCACCCCTTTAAAACCACACACACCCAGTGACTCACACTGTTTTGCCACACCCTTTACGGTTTTCCATAACTTCACCTCCTCTTCTTTCCCTCCCATGTGCCAGTGTAGTATCTCATTGTAATCCCACCATGACCTCATCGTGTTTACATTACCTTTATCTGCGTGGCAAAACCCTGGGAATGTATTTTTGGATTTCCTCCTCACTCTATCGGCTGTGTGTGTGTGTGTGTGTCTTTTGTTTGAACACTCGTGTGTGTGTCCATGCTGCAGAGAAAACCCCTCGAGTCTGATATGACGACGAGTTCACTCAGGAACAATCTGTGCCACTTCCTGCCGCTACAGGAAGTGGGCGTTTTGTTACCGATGAGAGACGCGGGGAGGCACACTGTGTCCTGCACGGTCCAGATCTGCCATGCTGCCAGACGTGGAGCATGGAAACAGAGCAGACGGTCACCAGGTTCATGTTGTGGCACATAACGTCTGTGGGACATGGGAAGCAGTTTTAGCTCCTAAAGAGGATGAAGCTGTCAGCGTGCCACTTTAGATTAGTTTTAGTACGAGGACACATTGGCTTTTCTTCCGCTAAGTTGACAAATTGACTTTACCCCAGGCCGCTTAGTTGCTAAGTGTGTCAAGCTTTCCATTCCTGTGAAATGCATATGATCTTTACTGATTTACCATCCAAACTTTTAAAACATTTTTGACCAGTTACATTTCACACAAAAGTAGGTTTTTCATTTCTAATTGGCAGCTGTATATTTTGCTAGCTGAAATATTGACTGTTGTTGCCATTTTGTTAGCTGTAGCTTAATAGCTAATTAAGCTAACGTTAGCATCATGACACGGTTTAAAAACACTATCCTTTTTTATGCTTCAAACTTTCTCAGTTTAAGACGAAGTCTATAAAAAGTATTGTTATATATTCACTTGCAATTCACAATGGCTGTATACATGACATTTTGCTAAAAGAATGACACCAATATGTTTTATCAAACACAACTAATAGCAAACATGGCTAACGTTAAGGGGAATTTCCGATGTGTAAACTTACCCACATCAAAATAAAGAGCTGTACACAACCAATGATGTTACCAAAAACTTTGAGGACGTGTAGGACTGGCTCACACAAAGTGGAAAAATACTGTGTAGTTTTCAACAAGAGCAGACTAATGATAGGTGTGATGATAGGATTTGTCAATCGATGTTTGGCAGAGAGCATTTTCAACAGTGCAAACATTTGAAAAGTAGGAAATCCACTCATGTTTAAACGTTATAATGTTGCTTTGTTAAAGACTTAAAAGATATTGGAATTGTTACAGATATATTTCGTACAGCTTCATGTTGATGGGCTCCCTGTTTTGGCCGGCTCTTCAAAGGTAACATAATTCACCGGTTGAATATTTAATCAAAACATTACTGAAATCTAAAATGGAAATGACTTCCTCTGCATGACAGCATTGTCACTGAAGAGTAGATGAACAACGCGGCTGCTTAGCAACACTGGCTCCGGTAGAAGCAGTGATTTGTGTTTTGGCACATAAATATTTAGATGAGCTTGTTTTATTATTGCTATATCGTCACCGATGTTTATTATCCCCAGATGTTCAACAATCGCTCACATTTGAATCATCATAATGTCGTCAACCATGTGCCCTCTAGCATGAGTGTGGAAATGTACTGTTTGGGAAGACACAGAAGTAGGGTCAATACTTACAAATTAAAAGTCTTTTGGGTGGAAATACAAGCATGAATAGGGTGAAAACTGACAAACTAGATCCACGATACAAACAAATCCAAACCAAAGCCCGTACCACTGATATCAATACCTTTTATTGTTCATTGCAGCTAATGTACTATCATGTAAAAGACAGACATGTGACCATGTTTTAAGGTGAATAGATTGGTTTTTACCAGTGCGTCTAGCAAACATGTACCCAATATACCCACACTTAATGTTTTGAATGTTGATAAGGATAGAGAGAGATGCCAGTGTTGAGTTCAGGCCTCAGGGGGGCAGTGGTGTGCTCCTTCTGATGAAAGCTGATTCATGTGTTGGAGATCTGGTAACATAGACTGAACAAAAATATAAATGCAACACTTTTGTTTTTGCTCCCATTTTTCATGAGATGAACTCAAAGATCTAAAACATTTTCTATATACACAAAATAACCATTTCTCTCAAATATTGTTCACAAATCTGAAAAAATCTGTGATAGTGAGCACTTCTCCTTTGCCGAGATAATCCATCCCCCCTCACAGGTGTGGCATATCAAGATGCTGATTAGACAGCATGATTATTGCACAGGTGTGCCTTAGGCTGGCCACAATAAAAGGCCACTCTGAAACGTGCAGTTTTGCTTTATTGGGGGGGTCTGGGGGGGGTCCGAAAACCAGTCAGTATCTGGTGTGACCACCATTTGCCTCACGCAGTGCAACACATCTCCTTCTCATAGAGTTGATC